AGGTGATGCCGACTTTTCACTTAAAATCTGGCCTGATTTCCCACACCTGAGTCAGGGACTTAGCCATCTGCCACCTCTGCCTCGGTCCCCCGCCCCCGCCCCCGCGTTTCACCACGTCAAAGCCCCGGGACTACAAAGAATGGCAGGCAAACTCCAAGCCGAGTCCGTGGGGGACAGCATCCACCCAGGGCCCACGGGGGTCCGCGGGAATTGTAGTGCCACTGCAGACACCTGGCTGGAGAGCAGGACAGGGCCACTCACGGGGCTCTCGGTCGCGGGGCTCTCCGCCTTGGGCGCCTCCCGCTCCAGGGGCACGGTCAGGACGGCTCGGAGCAGCAGCAGCGGCGGCAGGAGGAGCAGGGCTGCGCGGGGCCCGGGGCGAGGCATGGCGGCGTGATCTGTGCGGGCGGAGAGGGGCACAACGTCGGTCCCCAGCCTCCTCCTGCCTGGGCCCGGGAGCCAGGCCCCCAGCACCGCACGCCCCCCTTCCTTCCAAGAGTCGAGAATTAAAGCGTCTCGTTTTCCGGGACCCAAAATCCGGAGCCTTCAGCCTTTGAGTCCTGGCTCCCCGCGCCCTCTTCGCTCACTGACTCAGGGATCCGGGATCTCAAGTCCCTCTTTCCCCAGACCAAAGACCCAAGCCCCCACCCCCCTTTTCTCCTGGGATCTCGGAGAGCTGGTGCCCAGCTCGTCTTCCTCCGGAACTCAGTCCTCCACCTCCCCGCCTTCCCAGGACCCGAGAGTCCAGCAGATCCCAGCGCCTCACCTCTCCTTCACCGCAGAGGGGGTTTCCCGGGCTGGGAACGCGGCGGCGCTCTACCGGATCCCCGAGGCCACGCCCACTTCCCCGCAGAAGACCCGCCCTCAGTAGCCTGATTGGTCCACGCTAGCTCCGGCCGCTCGGTCCTTGCCTAGTGGCCCGCCCCTTGTTAAAGTCTTGCCTTTTCTGCAAAGATTTGCCTCCTTTCTCAGAAGCCCAAATTCTTGACGGCACATTTCCTGCCTTTTAGGCGAAAGGAGGAACGGAGACTTCCAAAGAGAACTACAACTCCCTGCAGGCCGGGGGAAAAAATGACTCGACTTCCGCTCCATCTTGGCCCTTTGGCCTCATGGAAGTTGTAGTTTTCCCAGTTATTTTTCTCCCTGAGAAGTGGCTGCAGATCCATAGCAATTGCTCAGGTCACCTTATACGTTTCTACTACACGTGAGAGGTGTAGAGCGAGAATGCGCTGCGACCTCTCTGGGGTCCCTTTAAGGAACACTCCTATTCCCTTCCAATTCAGAACCCCCTGAGCAGGGTAGCCTGGCTGCCGCAGAAGCCAGGGGTCATTGCTTTGTTGGAAGTTGAGCGTGAGGGAACAAGAGGGAGGGGATTAGGGTAGGTTCCAGAGGGAATCCCTCCTCCCTCGGAGCCCTCTTTCTTCCCCTGCTTATTTCCCCCAGACCTAGAGATTAGGTCCCCAGCTCCCAAACAGTTAGTCATGTATGTTTAGAAATTAGCCAGAGAGGCAAAGCATTGAGGGTTGAATGTGAAAAGCCTCTCCAGGCACGGGGGGAGGAGAGGAGGCCCCAGGATCCCTTATAGATGGGTGTTGGTGGTCTGGGGTCACTGGGGGTTGGGTGTTTGGGGCCCAGATTTCTGAGTTCCCAATGCCTGAGCATAGGAGACAGGTATTTGGGGGAGAGAGAACTGGACTCCCGGGGCCCTGATAGTTATGAAAGCTGGAGTCAGTTTGCTGTGTCCCTGGACACAGGCTGGAATTCAGGCTTCCTGGGTCCTGGATAAAATGTAGAGCTTAAGTTCGGGTTTTGGGGAGCTGGGGTGGGGCAGGGAGCATGTCCATTGGGGATGGTGGGTGTGAGTCCTGACTCCTATTCTTGTTTCTCCAGAATGTCTCAGGAGAATGACACGTGGAAGAAAGAGTAAGTCAAGAAAGGGAATGGGCAGGGGTGGAGAAAAGGGGTGCGAGGGGAAACACGGAGTTTGATTGCGCCCACACACACTCGGCTGGGGCCTCATAATGGTGTTTGCAGGTTCAGCACCATCAGCCTTGCAGGAAGGGTCTGGGGGCCTGGACTTCTGAGTCCTATCTAAAGGGAGTGAGCTTAGGATGAAGACTCAATGGGTCTGAAAGAGGAGGGGCTGAAGGCTTGGACTCCTGAGTCCCGCGACAGGAGGGCGCTGGGATCAATAGCTTTAGAACTGAGGGAGCAGGCTCCGATTCTAGCCCTCTGTGACCTCACAAGTGCTCAGAATCCTAAATTAGGAGGGGAGGAAGGAGCACTTGGGCATCCAGGGTGCCCTGCTTCCTGTGGCCACAAGCCTGCATCTCTCTCAGGGTCCTGTGGGATGAACTCGCTGCCATAAGGCTGCAGAAGCTGGAACAACAGGTACTGTGCCCACTTCCATAGCTCCCAGGAGCCCCATCCCCAGGACTTGTCCTGGGGTTGCTGGCCCTCTTCGGCTCTCTTGAAGCCTCAAGTTCTGCAATTGGGAAATGAGAAAATAGGAACTCGGGATCCTAGAGAGGTAAACCTTGGTGATGACACTCCCAAACTTCTCAGGAACAAGAGCTCTGGGGGGCAGGACTCCCAGGTCCTGGGGGAGGAGGGGGCCAGGTGCCAGGACTGTGGTTCTGAGGAAGGAGGAGACGAGGGACTGAGGGCCTGGACCCCAGGAAGCCTCGCACGGATGCAGGCCTCCCCCTGCCCCAGGCCCATTTTCACCCCAGTCTACGGCAGGATTCCTGATCCCCCCCACCCCTTTCCCGCTCCCGCAGCGGCGGCTGTTTGAGAAGAAGCAGCGACGGAAACGCCAGGAGTTCCTCATGGTTCAGGCCAATCCTGACGTTTCCCTTCGGTCCTGCCGACCGAGGATGCGGTCGGAGTGCCTCACCGGTAGCAGCGGTGAGGAAAGGGTCCGGGGGGACCTCAGGCCAGGAGGGAGGGGTCCGGGGAGTGAGGCGCGGGGCCTCAAAGGGCTCAGAGGGGACGAGCGGGCGGAGCCTGGAGCCGGCACGTGGGAGAGCACCGAGCAGAGCCCAGGAAAGAGCGAGTCAGGACCTGGGGGACCCCAGGGAGACGGCGGGTGCAGGGCATCAGGCAGCTAGAGGGTGGGGCTCGAGAATTCCGCGACTGGGCTGGTTGGAGCTCTGGGGCGGAGCCGGGAACCGCCCAAAAGGGGGGGGGTCTACGG